CATGAGGGCCATCCAGTTCTTGGCAAGGAATACATGAACCTTCCGGGTGATATGGCCATTCCCAATCCTGTCGAAAATCCGGATGATGATGAAGAAATAGGCCCCGGTGCAATCCCCAAGGGAATGACAAGATTGATCGACCACATGTACGTGAATGTGAACAACCCGGAAATTGCGCCGGACGAGTATTTCGCCAACCGGACCATCTTGACAACAACCAACGCAGTGGTCCACAAAATCAATGCAGCTGTTGCGGATCTCTTACCGGACGAAGCTCGCGAATACCTGTCCACGGACTCTGTGGAAGATGATGTGAATGGAGATTTCTTCGAACCAGAAGTACTACATGCGGTGAACCTTAACGGTGCTCACTAGTTAGCTTACACGTGTGCTCACGTGTTGGAGAAAGCGTAGGTGTTCCTAAGTTGTATAGCGTACACACACCTCGTGTGTACGGTAAGACGAGATAGGAGCTAGATAGCGTAAAATGAGAACTGTATTGTTTGTTTAAACGGTTTCCTTCCTAAATTGTTTATCAAATATCTAAGGGACTGTCAGCCACCTGCTGACAGTGATTCGCATCGCTGATTGGTAGAGGTGTGGCCCACTCTACCAATATGATCCCTTCAAATACAGTCTTGGTGTGTTCACACACCAAGACGGGAAACCTCTACCTCTAACCGATTAGCGTTACGGTTAGAGTTTCGTGTAACCCCGTTATACCCCCCCGTAAATATTTGACGTGCCGGTCACAACACGTCAATCCAAGCCTTGACGAATCCGTCAAGCCTCCGAGAGAACTCCGCGCTCATTTCGCAATGAGCGCCTTTCTGCGAACACCAGCGTCCGCGTCGACCTCAGTGTCGACGCCTGCGGCTGATCCCGCGTCGGTGCATGCTTCTGCCCCTGTGGCGGCGGCAATGCCGACACCCCTAAGTGGCACGACAGAGAAGAACTTCTCTGCCGACAAGTACTTCGAGCTCCAAGAGAAGATGCTCGAGCTCGAGGCGAAGAAGCACGCCGGGACTGCGAAGCCAGACAGTTCTAAGACCATCTTCGATGGTTCGTCGGTCCTTCCTCTCGACTGACGGTGGTATCCCTGTGGACTACGAGGAGGGAGAGCTCGAAGACGAGGGTACCCTCGTCTTCCCAGTCATACGATTCCAAGCTTGCGGCTGGGACTCGCCACCCCCGAGAGGATGATTCGGACGCTTCATCTTCGAAGCGTCCGCGAAGTGTTAATGATGCAGTGCCTTCCTCATTGGAAGCATTGCCATCACCTCGGATCCACGTGTTGTTCCGTCGGAGCAACGTGATGCCCCGCGCACTGACGACTCAGTCCGCGAACCTTGGATGCCGTATGAGAGTGTTATCACAGCACGGTACGGGCACACGGTTCCTCCGAACGTGATACCGTTGTGCGTCGACAGCAGAATTGTCGACGACGCTGAAGCTGCCTCAAAGCACTTTGAGCCGATGACGAATCAAAAACGAGACTATTATATC